TGACTAAATCTAACTCTAGTCCTTCAGAGGTAGACGGGACACTCGTCTGAGACCATAAACTGTTATGTGCATTAAAGTCTCCAATAAAAATTAATTTATCTAATTTGGATTTGGATTTAGAAATAAGGGAATGAAGATTTTTCATATGTACAATAAATTGATTCCAATTAGATACTTCTCGTGGTCTATATATAGTAAATACAAGAAAATGAAGATTATTTGAAAATGTCAATCGAATGCAAAGGATTTCATAATCTACATGTTCAAATTCTACAACCCTTACATAGTGTATGTCACTTCGAATATACACCAAACACCCACCACCGGTTTTACCAACTCTATCTCTTCTCTGTAGTCTATAACCCGGAATACTAACACGCTCATTCGGAACCGCACCATCTAGCCAGGTCTCAACCAGACCCAGTACCAGAGAAGTTTGAAGTGAAACATAGGCACACAAATCACTCATTTTATTCCGTACACTTCTTGAATTTAAAAAGGCAATTCTTTGTTTTACTCTCATTGTGTTAATCTTATCTATCACCATAAGAAAGAATGACGACAGTATGAGGATTATACAGCATAGTTGCGTTAAGTGAATCCAAGTTTTTGAAGAGAAAAAGAAACGGACGGGAAAAGGATGGGAAACGAAAATTAGAAAATGAGCTCATGTTTGATTCAATGCTGACTGTCAACAGAAACAAAGTAGAACAGAAAAAGGTTCTTGATTAAATGAATAGAAGAGAAATAAACGAACGAGCGAGAGAAAAGAAACATCACTAATTAATAAACATATAACAACTTCTCCTTTACTTTGACACCAGTTGTAGACTTCGAACTTTAACATCCAGAATAAATATCTTCTCTTGTCGAGAAATCACTCGCTTGGTTCCATCACTCTTAAGATCAGCCCGTTCACGCTTGTATATAGCCAAAGCAGACGGTGTCAAATCATCAAAGATAGTAACAGCCTAATCTTTTCCTTTCAATTTAACAAGTAATGAGAATACTTGTTGTCGTTCAAGCCGTGAATAAAAACGAGCGATGATAGGACGAGGCTTATCTTTAATGGACGAAGGTAGTCTATGGCTAAACTCAATTCCATGTTTTAAATTTAGACCCAAATGTGTAACAAACAATTCTTCAGGTTTAACTTGAGTTTGAGCCGGAGTTTCATTTGGAGAATCTGGAATACCATAGACACGTATATTGAATGAGCGCGATTAAGGACGAGCATCTTCGAGTTCATTCTCTACTGCTTCTAATCGATTTTCTAATTTATCGACACGTTCAGATCGAATTTTTCCAACTGTAGAGGCAAGTAAATTACCAATTTCGTTAGCTCGTACCATCAAGAGATCGTCGAATTTATTATCATTTTCTTTCTGTTCTTCACTGTCCATGCGACTATTTGTCGTTGTTGTTGCTGTCACAGCAGTAGACGGAGGAAGAAGCAGAGAAATCAGCTGTTTGCGAAGTTCAGGACTGTCCATGATCGATTGAGTAATAGCCATTGGTAATTCATCATTTCCTTTCGGCATCTTGGTAGTAGGTGGAGATCCAGATGAAGATCCGCTCGAAATATTACGTTTTAGTGAACTAGACATGAAACACTAGACAGTCAGCAAGAAAAAAGGACAACTAGCTCATAGATGAAAAGGAAGAAACGTTAATAAACACACAGAAACGTTAATAAAAGGATCGCATAAAGATTGCGTGAAAGTTCTGCAGAAGGCTATAGGCGTCGATGCAGATGGTATATTTGGTGCTGCAACCGAAAGTGCTGTACCTACATATCAATGGAATAATAACTTAATAGCAGATAGAGTCGTTGGACCAAATACATGGGCAAAGACTAATGGAACCAATAGTGGCATATTAGCGAGTAACAACGGCTGTGGCTGTGTGAGCAATTGATAATTTCTGCATGCTTATTGTTATTTCTTCCGCCTCTCGTTGGTAAAACACACGTCGGAATGATAAGAATGAAAAACTTAATTCCAAAATATTTAGAACTATTTTTATTGAAAACTAATGTATATTCGGAACTTACAAAAAAGGCCGTATCGAATGCTACAGAATTTCATGTGTTTTAAGAAAAGTATCCAAATTTTGAAAGTAAAATAGCTTAAGGGGTCTGAGAGAAAAATTTGGACAAAACTGTTGTCTTCTTCAAGGCCCTCAGGGACTCAGACGGAAAAGTAGGACGTTTTCATATGTTTTACAACTTCTTGGGAAGCGCATGTATAGTTTAATTTGGTTGTAATTAGTTTTTATAGTGCAGGCTTATGAACAAGCGATCAAATGTTCTGGGAAGCCGGCGGTTGAGGCAACCAAATTAGCCGATTATCTAAAAGCTAGGTATGGTAAAGGAACAACTCAGATCTACAACTGTCGTGGCGATGCTGAGTAAGAAAGCTACAGTTCCCATTCTGAAGGGCGTGCTGCGGATTATTTTGCTGATGTACCGACAATGGCCACTGCATCCGAGCACTTAATTAACATCGTCTGCACTACAGGAATTCAAGAAGTTATTCACAACCGCCGACGTTGGTCACAGTCGGCTGATAATAAATCGTATCACAGCGTTAATCCGCACACACACCATGTGCAGGTACCTCCGAACAAGTGTGGGGCTACAAAATTTTGACGATATTATGAATGCAGCACGCCGTAAATAGGCGACCAAACTATTGTAATAGTATATGTCTCCTTGCTTGAATCCCATTTTCGGGTTTCTCTTCCAAGAGGCAAGCTTCGTAGAACATCTTGTATCGCATTATACCTTGTATCAGACTAATAGCATGGCGGCCCTGGCGTATAAAAATAAATACTGTAAGTCAACAGTTAATGGTAAACTTTAATTATGCACCACAGTCACATCCAGAAATACTGTTAAGAGATCTTCATATGAGAAAGAAGATCCTCTTGCTAGCTGTGCTCTTGGCTTATCTTACCTGGAAGAAAAGTGCCTTAACCATACGTGTCGCTAATTTCACTTATCATGCAACAATCACGAATGGTTGCACGTGCACACCTGTCTTGGAACTGATGAAAACCTTCAGAACATGTGGCCCTACTGTACAGAATAAACACATGAAAGGATTTTTGAAAATACTTATTCATGGGCTTATGATCGATATCGTGTTTCATCTTGTAACATCCTTTATTAGAAAAAGCATCATTGTTTCGCGAAATCTGTAAAATTGCAACTGAAGCATGATTTTATCAGTATTTTCTCTGATATTTGGTATTATAAGACGACAGAAAAGTTGCTAACTATTCTCTGTGAAAGGCTTGTTCGGTTTATGGTGTATTGCTGTGGATAGGGCCAAGAGTGTAACCGGTGTCAAAAATGCGATACCGGTACCGGCCGGTCACCGGTATTCAGACTTCGTACCGGTACCAGTCGGTACCTGCTTATCTTGATCATGTTTTGCGTAAATACAAATACTTTTTCAAAACCAGTTGTAAATCAATAATTACAAGTACAAATTCTTGAGATTTTAGTTTTGTTGGAATATCTGTAGATGATAACTTATCAGTGTCCATGCTTTTATGATCATGTTTCATACATATGAAGAAATCTGTTAATATTCAGCGAAAAAAACCTGCTGTATCAATCAAAACAATAGTTTACTTGCTGTGTAACCAGCTGTTCACTTATTATCCCAACAAAAAATTTATTTTCTTCTAAGAATAATATGCAGTGCACGAGCGCTAGCGCGATCATGCTTTCTCCGCTTGAGCGAAGAGCACTACACTGAAAAAAAACAGGATCATATGAAACTTAAAAAAGGTTCCGAAAAGTGAAACAAAATCGAAACCTTTTAGAAGTTCGAGTAAGGTTTCGTACAGTACCACTTTTTAATCTTCACAAATAGGTTTCGTAACAAAAACTTGGTAGGAGCTTGATGCATCATTCTCAACTCATTCGTGTTACTGTAGTAACAACATAATGCGAAATGAGAATTATTTCTGTATGTTGAATAACGAGTTGTATATATAGCTATGATTGTCTATTGCTGGAAATTTTTCCACATCAAATGATCTGATGCCTTTAATTTTATCATCCACTAAACATTGTTCAATTTCATCTTCCGTACATAATGAAAATACAAGCGGTTGAACAATACGTAATAAATCACCATCATTGCCTTCTTATTTAGCGTTTAGCATCTAAGTGTTTATTTTTATCAAGTGTAAATACGTTTTGTGGATTGTTTGGATCAGTTAAATTTATGTACTATACAAATAACCAGGCTATCGCTAAAAGTAAAATGTCGATCAAACATAATTTACACTCAGACTAGATTATAAACTTGTTGGAATTCGAGCAACAGACGAATTTAAAGATGGCGGCAGTGGCAGACAAGTGCTAAATTTTAACTAAAAGACATAAAAATAATTGAGATATTCAAGTACAGTTAATAGTATATTCTCAGTTGTTGTTGGTGAAAATATCGAATTTGTATCATAATACCTTGTTGCGTTTCTTATGCCATTATATAATCCATTATAAAATCATACGAACTGTTTCAGATGAATTTTTGGCAAAACATTTGTGAAAATTGGATCAATAAATATTAATGATGATAGATAATTATTTGAAGATATGAGAATCGAATTTAATGTTGCTTCAATTGCTAATTGCTTCAATACAATTAGCTGTTACTTCATCCTTTCCTTACTCTTCATTAGTATTCTATGAAAAATGAAGATTACAGAAAAGAACTCCGATATAAAAGACTCGATATAAAGTTTATCGAATTAAGAAAGACAAAATTCTTCACAAAATGAGTTATTTTTCCAGTTGTATACTAAAAGAATAGCTGAGTTACACATACCGTCTTTAACTCGTTTCAAAGAATCTCGTTCATTGTGTGGATAATAGAAGACAAAGCATGCTTCATTTTTTTGGGAGAAGTAGTGAGATAAAGATAATATGTGTAACTCAGCTGCTTTTCAAGTATTCAACTCGAAAAACAACTCATTTTGTGCAGAATTTTGCCTTCCTTAAGCGTGTTATGTCAAAAAGTTTTAGAGAAGAGATTTAATCCAAAAAAATGCAAAATATAATAGATGTCATCTAAAGACGATGATTAAAACAATCTAAAAATCAGCTAAAATGAGCAGAAGAAATTGTCTATTTTTTCGCTTAATAATTATTTCTGGTGTAGTTTTTCACGCTCTTTGTAACGGTATATTTAAAATTGAAGTTTGACCACGTATAATGGTGAAAGAGAGCGATTTAAATGAATTTCATGGTGGTAGCAGTAATTTTCCCACTTTTAGAGAGCATGTTTTTTAATTATTCGTTTTTTATTCGAAAGCTGAGACTTTGCACTTTCGAATCGTATATCTCAAAGAGAGATCTGTCGCTACTTGAGAAATATCAAAAACTAGAGAAAAGAAAATGTCCGAGTACTTTTCTCGTTCCAAAAGTCGACTGACTGTAAAAGAAGACACATTATAGACTCATGTGAGATCGTTAAAATTCTCTTAAATGGACAGAAATGTAGAGCAGACTTTGCTCTATCTAACGGTAGAAAACTAATTTTCTTATCTCTTTTATTTTAAGAGGTAATAAGCTCGCAAGAGAAGCTTCTTACAATGTCAGAATACTTCTTAAACACACACAATCTGAGGTTGGCAGGCAGTTTTGTGACAGAAAAAATTTATACCAAACCATGTGCAAAGAATAACAAAAAAAATGATGAAATTCCGTAACAGTCACTTTTTTTCCATTTCCTCTGCCAGAGAATGAGTTCAAGGACAAGTCTATAGTGATCTATAGGTAATTAGAACTCGCTAATATCCGTCACTGATATCAATTTTATCGATAAGTGTTGCTTTTCTATCGGGATAAGAGGCGCAAAGGACGAAAAGAATGAAATTTCATAACATTGATAACGATATCAAGTACCGTTAAATTAGAAACACTTGCTGACTGAAAATATTAACAAAAAATTTTTATTTGATTTTTTCCCAAAAAAAAGATATTTTTCGACAAAAAATATCTACCGTTTTGTTGTGTTGAGTTTAGAATTTTTCAATACGTCTAACGTTTGATATTCATTTCTAAACACTCATTTCTTTTCATACATTTTTTAAACATCATAAAACATATAAAAGGAAAAAAGAATTGAAAAACAATATACGATAAGAGTGACAGGAAGAGAAGAACAAAAATGAAAAGAATGTTGTTTTTCAGCATAAAAATTTTTTATTACTCATGTGTCATACATTACACAATCAGTAGGAAAAACAAAATGGAGAAAAAAAACACATTTTTCTGAACTTTTTTCAATTTAAATAAACATGAGTCGAAGCTACAATTTACGTTCCAATTTCTTGCATAGCTCAACTACTGAATGTGAAGAATTGTTAACATTAAAAATATGTACCAATTATCCTTCAACAAAAAACTTTATCTCCATCTGCATACACAACTCTCGATCGCTTAAAGAACTGAAATCTAAAATAATTGATGAACTACGTCTTGGAAAAACCGTGCTCTCAACCGATTATTATTTATCAGAGTTCAACAATAATACTAATGAATGGAAGATAATCGAAGATAGTTTTCAGCTGAAGTTATTGTCCGAGTTAAAAATTTGTAATAACGGATTTATCAGTATTCATCCCCGCTACGAACAATCAGCCATTAATGATCATAGTTATGTAAGTGACTGCTCTTCTCTAATATCACTGAAATTATGTGAGATACCTTGTATCACCGATAAATGCATACCCATGGACGTATCGAGTTCCCTCAAACTCAAACACTTGAAAAGTAAAGCGGTCGAACAACTACACATGTTTGTTCAGTCTACCGATGAAGTACTTTTATGTGTTTTTAATACGGACGAAAATAACTGGATACCATTTGATCAAAATGTTGAAGATTATTTACTAAACGAATTAGGCATTGCGAATGATTCATATATTTGTATCGATATTCAATCAAATATAACACCAGGTGTGTGTGGTCTCAATAATACGGGAAATACTTGTTTCATGAACTGTGCAATTCAATGTTTAAGTAATGTTCCTCAATTAACTGATTATTTTCTAAAGTTAAAGGAACCTGTTAATCCTCTGATTGACGCCTATAGTCAGTTGATGAAATCTATGTGGTCAGGACATTATTCATTGTTAACGCCAGAACCGTTCATTGCTCTTGTTAGAGAAACATTTCCACGCTTTACTGAGTGGAAGCAACACGATGCACAAGAATTTATGAACTATTTGATTGACATGATGCACACAGAAGTACCTCTAGTGAAGGACTTATTTTACGATCGAATAAATTCAACAGTTCGATGTCTTGTGTGTAATTCAGTCGAATCAAAAACAGAACCAATCAGTTTTCTTCCATTACCATTACCTATTACAGAAAAAAAATCAACATTACGTATGTTTGAAATTGATTATATAAAACTAAACGGTGACATTGAATATTATTCAGTTGAAACGAGAGAGAATGGTACAATTTTGTCATTGATTCAGAGTCTGATTGATCACTGTTTGAACATGAATTTGACAGACATTCCTGATACTGATAGAATAATAGCAGCAAAAGTGTCGAATAATCGACAGATAAGGAAATATTTCCAGGATGAATACTTATCTTGGATAATCGGAAATCAAATGACTTTATTTGAAGTACCTCAAATGATCGATCCATATCACCAAATTTACACACCATGCTTGTTTTTCGACAAGGAAACGTCTTCTTACTTTCGTCCTCCTATCTTCTTAGTCCGTGTCAGATATAACTGTCAGGGACAAGACTTGCTGTCACAACTAGAAAGCATCATACAACACATCATATCGGTGGTTGGAGAGACGACTGTCGAGATTTTCTGGACAAGCGATATATTCAGTGAAAAACGCCGTCTACAACAATATTTGAACGAGACAATATACTTTATTGATTCGGTTATCATTGACGTATCAAATTCAACTGCGAGAAAATATATTCAATCCAAACACAATAGCACTAAAAATTCACTGAGCACATTAATCGAAAATTTTTTGAAAGAAGATGATTTAGATGGTAGATATGATTGTTCCACATGTAAAAAACTGACAACAGCTAAACAACAAACGAATTTGTGCTTTCCATTACCACCTATTGTCATCATCCAATTAAAACGATTTATATATGATGCATATTCAAATGATAAGATTGATACATTAATCGATTATCCAGTCAATAGTTTTAGTTTCGGACAAGATGGGATACTCTACGATCTAATTGCTGTGCTTACTCATAATGGGTCCCTATCGAGTGGACATTATGTGACATATGCAAAAAATTATCAAAATCAACAGTGGTATTCGTTTAATGATGATTACGTGAATCAGATTAAAGATGAACGAGAATTGGTGACAAAAAATGCATATGTGCTTATCTATTCAAGAAAAAATATTGTTACAAATTAATATCATGTAAACCATAGAACAACAATTTCAATTTGTTTTAAGATCTTCTTTAACTCTCAAATAAAGTTTGAGAATGAAGTTGTTACTAAATACCTTTCAATCAAGACAGTTTTTTGTACGGTAACGTATTTATTTTCAAGTATATATGGCTTATAAAAAACTGAAAATCGAAAATCTATGCTTCAGTGTTTGTACATAATGGATGTACGACGGAATGGAGGTCGGAGTTGTGCTCTTATTCTATATTATAGACAAATCACATAAGCCCTTTCATTCAAGGTAGGCATGCATCAGACTTTTCCACCCTACGCTAAAGATTTAGATCCCGGATACGAAAAACCATCAAACTTTTGTGATAAATAATCAATTTTCTCTACTCTATCTGAAACTAGTGTTGGATTTTGTCCAACCTATTAAAAATCTTCAAAGCTTGTCCAGGCTCGGCAGATATGCAGTTTTTCTAACTCTTTCGCCAAGCCTGATCGAGCTTTGAAGATTTTAATAGATTGGACAAAATTCAACATTAGTTTCAGATAGAGCAGAAAAAAAATTGTGCAATTGCAACCGCGCAATCACTAAATACTTCGACTATTCAATCCTATTACCCTTTGAATTTTTGATACGTCAGAAAGTTATCTTTTTTCTGTTATAAGAAGAAAAACTGAAACTGCAAGTAACATGTGACTTGAAATTTTTCTAACAGAAAAATTGTAGATACGAAAATTCGTAAAATAAAAACATCTTAAACTATTTTGCCATTTCTGTTTGTTTTAAACAAGAAATATTAGTTTTTCTTAATAGTAGTAAACTTGATTACTTTGCCTTGATTACCCTCTTACAATTTGAAAACAAACTTCTTTTCATTTTTGAAAATAATTTCCTAATCTCATATTTAATTCTCTACAAATTTGTGCAATTTTTAATTTTATTTTGTTTAACATTCGATCAATAGCAATCTGTTATTTTAATGTCCTAATGTTTTACTAAGAGTGCTGCATTTTGATGGGAGCAGATGTTTGCAATTCTTATTTTTTTCTTACTGAAACAAATGATAGTAAATAACAGCCGCTAAAGAATTTCTTAGGCACCACATTATTCTTTTATTCTGTCTGTTTCGCGTTAGTCATTTATTCAAGAATTACCAGAAAATATTCGTCGGGCGTTAGCATGTTGCAATGTCCTTCAGTATCTGGTTATCAACGAGATAATGAAAGATTTCTCGAAATACAAAATTTCGGGTTATTTGAGATAAATTTCTGCATCGATTTTCATTAACAAGCAAAAGTCTTATTTTTATCGTATGATGTAAACAGTTGAAGAGATGGACACATCAGAAGACCCGGGTCTTGTAATGTGGTCTATCGTGCACAAATTTTAGAGAGTCGTCTATTGTGTCCTTAGACAAGTTTAGGTTATTAACTAAATTTACTAACTGAGACGTTGAAACATTACTTAATACGATGAATGGCTGACCATATATATTTTAAATAGGCTTTTTAACATGTTTGGTAACATAGCTCGATCGAGATCCCGATTGAAGTGTTGACTATATCCCTGTTAGGCATTCTACAGTTCCCTCAAGCTAGGGCTCTGTGATCGGCACCAAGTGGTTTGTTACCAAACATGTTCGGTCGCCGAACGGTTTGCTACCGAATATATTCACTGCCTGTCAACGAGCCCTAGCTTGGGATGGTTACAGGTCTAGTCTAGACTAAAGACAAATGGGATTAAATTGAAATTTTCGAAATCTTTCCACAACAGATCAGAAAGATATTTTCTAAACGAGCTGAATTATTTCAATAAGAAGAAATGACAATTCAGACTCAGTTTCAATGGAGTCATAGCAAGCAAACACCTTAGAGAACGTACTTAGGGCTAAGTATTTGGACTAAGTACTTCGTTTGCGTAATGAAGCCGGTACTTGTCTTTTTTCAAGAAGTAAATTTACTTGTAAGTACTTGTCCTTACTTGCCAAGTACTTTCGAAAGTACGTTCTCTAGGGTAGTGCATTTCTCATTCGTTTTACATTTGTATATTCTCGTTTCTTTCTTTTTTGTACTAGAAATAAAAACAAGAGAAGAAATAAACGGAGAAGAAAATTTTTATTTTTAGGATTGTTTGTCTTAATTTAAGCCGTATTTAGAAGAATTGATATACAGCCTGTTCAATCGTGGCGGAATCACATTTTTTCATTTTAAATTTGAAAGACGAAGAGCCCACATTTTTTCGACATATATGCGACAATGTGCTTTACAATACCGGAAAATATCGTTCAGTCTGGTTGCACAGCTTCCATGTTATTAAAGACTTCGGGATCGTAGCGAAATCAAGAAAAATGGGCGAGCTCTTTTAGCTGTCTCCCAAGATGTGAAACTGAATGACTTAGCAGAAAATGTTTGCTGGGAAACTCGTAGCAGGTCTTGCGAGCAGTCTCAGAAAAGATGAAAAATTTAATAAAAGTTCGAGTCTGTGCGGTCAGTGAGAAAACAGTGTCGTAATCAAAATGATTGTTGATTTTCTTTCTTAGTAAAGAATTAGTTAAGTACACAAGAGTTTTTAAATCTTGTCAAGATTTTGATCAAGATTTTTGCAGGCGGATTTCTTTTTGCAGTCAAACCATGTTGTAAAGATTAGAATTAGGAATATTATCAATAATAAAAGCTATAATAAATTGAACGTAATACAGCAACTAATACCATAGTTTTATTTCTCATACGAAAAAAAGTAATGCTCGAGCAGGAGGAGGAGTAACAGAGTGTCAGTCCTCAACTACGAGTATGAGTAACAAGACTTTGTTGTCGAATACGGATCGATTATCGAGTACAAAGAATGGTAACCGCTCGGCGACAACAAGTATGCAATCGCACTTGCTCAGCACTGATTCTCAATCGACAGGATCGTATTGTACCCTCATAAAATCCTAGGAAATCCTAGGACTTGTGGTTGTAGGTGTTGCCACTAGAAGTCCATAAGATTTTTATTAACGTTTTATCCAAAAGTAAACTAAATCCTAGGAGGATTTCTTTAGGATCCTTAAGGAAATGTACAGGTGTTTTACGAGACCATCTACTACCAAAATCTGTTCACTTGCAAGACAAGAACAGTATTCTGATGACACTAAGGGCCTGAAAAAGAACCCATTTCTCAAAAGAATTGTCTGGCCCATGCTATAGAGTTTTCCAATGAGAAATCAAGGTTTATCAATATTTCTGCTCTAGTTTTTGATCGAAGTAATATTTTTTCAGACACAAAAACGCATCTGAGGTTTTGTGTAATTCTAGTGGAACTTTCACCTCAATCGAACTAAATCCCACATTTATACACAAGTTACAAGTGTGAAAAACAAGTTTCTAGACTTAAACCTGCAAACTCGGACGTACATTCCACTATCTCTATCCACTGTCAAGTATCTGACAGAAAACAAACTAGAGAGACCCTGCTTGAGAAAATCACCTCACACCTGATCATCTCTCACATTTTTGCAAAAATGTGAGAGATATCAACAATACGTTTTCAACTAAATTGTTACAAATCATCTCGAGATATGAAATTCAGTTTATCGTTTTCTATTTATGACTAGAAAGACTTTCACGCAACGGGGAAAAAACAACACTGCACTACACTACACTACATTTTTTCCACTACGGCAGTGGCCTTGTAGTGGCCTAATAGTAACTTTGTGGTGACCCCGAGGAGTGTAGTGGGCTGTAGTGAATGTGTAGTGGAGGTGTAGTGGTGTGTAGTGGCCAATACCTTGTAGTGTAGTGTAATGTTGTTTTTTCCCTTGTTTAAACATCATATTCGTCAAGTGATTCAGACTTTTTTTCAGACAGTTTTTGATGCTGATTCCGAATGTGACATTTGTATTGCATAAAAGTTGAGTTCTGATGGAAAAAATTGAGAATTACGAGCAGAATTCTGACTGTTTCGCCTCAGATGTAGAAAAAACACCATCAAGAAAAACACTGAGCATCGTTTTTTCTATTTTAGTTCCATGCTGAGAAACTTCAGTTTAGTTTTTCAAAATTTTCTCTTTCCAGATCCAGTTTCAAAGGTCAAAACATATATATTCCGACTCATCTCGGCGAGCTCTATTCCATGTATAACTCGTCGAGAAAAAAAATAGTGTTGATCCTTTGAATTAGGTGCACCTTATATATCGTATCTGTTCGTATTCTACTTCATACCGAACTACACAGCGGCGGATGATCGGAGAAAGGGCTGGGTTTTGATTATTAACCGAAACCGATGCATCCTCAATGAAAACTGAGCACATCAGTTCTCAAAATATGAAGCCTTATAAGCTTTTATTTCTCAGCATGTTTCTACGGAAAACCCAAAAAGAGGGAAAGGGTACCTTAACAAAGCTTTCTTTCATTCAGGAAAAAGGAATATTTTCTGAAGCATTTTCCGTTCCTTCACATTTGCAACCGAAACATATGATAATAGAATTTTTCAATAACATGGTTGTATTCAAAACATTTTCATAGCCTTTTCGAATAAGCATGTCATTAGTGTTCCAACCTCATGTAGCTTGGAAAAACAGCTGTCGAAAAATTAGCTGCAAAACCATGACATCGACAGAAAATTTTAATTTTTATAAAAATCATTGAAGTGTCAGTCGAAAACAATATATCTTATAAATCTGCATGATGTTCGCTATCGGTTAATAAAACACGTGTTTAGTTTTCAACTAAGCTTCCCCAGAATGTTCTTCTATATGCCTTTTATCACCACAGATAACATAAAGTAGGATAAGTGCTCCAGGATTGTGCAGTAGTTTTTCCAAAACACCTTGGTTTTTAAGGTATTTTCCATTTTTCTCGGCTCAGGAGAATTTTTATTCAAAGCTCATATTTGAAATCAGCACACTAAACTGTACCGAACGGAGTGTTGAAAATGTCTAATTTTAAAACCTTTTGGACGAAATTTTTGGGTAAAGGGGGTCTCATGTGTCCAAGGATACCCTGGGATCTGAAAAATCAATATAAATTTTGTCTATATAACGACGCTATGATTGACAGGCGACTCTTAATTATTCTAACTTCATTTGCTCATATGCTTTAGTTATATCTTTTCATTTTCAATGGGTTTCCTAAACTATACTGTAGTTGATATACTAGAGTAACATACTATAGAAAATGCATCAAAAAATATTCTTCTTTTATTGAATGAAAGAAAGCTGTGTGTTAATATAATGTCAATAACCAATAAACCGCCAAGTTTTTCTTACATGTACACCTTTTATTCAAACAAATCATGATTAAAAGAAATTAAACAGCATTATATAAATTAAAATTCTGGAATAAAGTCTAAACATGCATGCAAAGTTTCTCGAAGTAGAAAAACACATGTGTATTTAACGGTGAACTTTTCGCCAGCTATATTTCTTTCTAAAACCGGACAAATGCGGAATGTTAGTCGAACATAGACGACGTTCCACAGGTCGATGTTCAATTTCACGAACTCTTTTTGTCGGTTGGACATGAGGAACTGGCATATTGTAAAACAGTGTTTGGATACGTGGGAACTCATAGAACCAGGAAAAATCATTCCAATTAATTCTGTAATTATCATATGTGTCAGACGTTATCCGTTGTAGTTGGTAATTATCAGATTTAGGAAGTTGCCAAACTGTTGTTTTTCTCGGTATAGTATAAACATCGATAAAATTAATGTTGTAATCATATGAAAAATAAATAGTTCTTTTCGTCCAAAATTCTGACTGAAATGGGTTTAGACGAACGGTTTCAAAGTATGGACCGAGTCTAATAACCAATCCAAAATCTTCAAGTAATGGTAAATTAAATAATATGTTTTGCCATCTGTCATTATTAATTTGTCGCAAATCTCCAAAATCACTTCCAACTGTGGTTGAATAAAAATATGAAAATTGTTCAAGTTTTGGTACATGTTTCAGTAACCATTCAACATCGTCGATACTAACACCAGAAACAACTAATTCCAATGATATCAAACTTGAAAGATCATTAGGTAGTGCTAATGATTTGTCGTCTTGTCGGCTGGACGTGTAAACACATAGATGTTTGATGAACGGTAAGAGTTCTAAGATTTTACTTAATATAGTCACATTGTGAGTACGAACAGTCATACTTTCGACAGAGCAAATACCAAGATCATCAATGTTGTTAATCCAGTAGTCTGCTAAGTGACATGTCTTTAAAGCAAACATGTTTTCACTGAAAATCATTTTTATTACATCGTCAATACTCGATTGACTATCATTTTCCATTGCTGAAATTGACAGATAACCCAGTGGACTGTACGACAGTTGTCTGAGTATAATTTGAACATTCAAAGCACTCACTTCAGTTAAAGATAATGAATGAAGATTGCAGAAGTGAACGTGCGGATTAAAACGTCTTGCCAAATCAGTAAATGGTTTACTGGAAATTTTCAATCCAAAAATTTGTTCAATTTAATGTTGAAAATACTAATTTGACTATGTGATTAAACTTTTTGCGTGATATATTTATCAAATTAATATTGAGACATCCGATTGTACTTATGAGAATGTTTAATCGTTCATTCAAGTTATACAACGATATGACAATGTCAGTATCACTCAAATATTCAAATAACTTATAAAACAATTCGTTTGGAAGATTCTCCAGTTTTAATAATGAAAGCATCACACGAATATGTTTCTGAAAGGGTCAAGAATCAGGGCACACCTTCAATAGGCGTACAAGACGAGCTGTCGAGCAAGCGGTTAATTGGGTTTCAAGTTTATCTCAACACAACGAATGAGCTTCGATTCATCTCTCTCTCTTTCTCTGAATGAGTGCTTAATCCGACTGTTATTTCACCCTAAACCTAGATTTCTTACTAGAAATGTACAATCGAACGGGCATTTATACCCGATCCATAATCAAATACGGGCTGCAAAAGCTGTAGCAGTGTGTTTACCTACTTATTACAAAAGTTAAATGTGACAACGTTTCATAAATCAGATTTTTATGTTTTGATTTTATTAATATATATTATATACGTGTCTATTGTTGAGTTATTTTTCTTTTCTTCCATTTGCAATTCTACTTATTGGGGAAGGATGGTGCACATGTTTTTGTACGTTATAAAAAAAAAACATTCTTGTTCTCCATGTAACAATGTCAGTTAGCTGAATAACTGATAAGGTAATGAAATCGAAAATAACAGAGTATTCTACTAAACTGAAATATGAAATAAAAACTGATTTTTCGAAAAATGTCACTCTCTGATAAAAGAACAAATCTAAAAATGCCATCAATAATGCTGCAATGTAGAGCAAGTCTAGTCACGTGCGCATTCGTCGTTTGAAGTCCTTCCCGAGCTCTCCACTATTTTAGATTACAGAAAATTCTTGCAGCTACGAATATCCCCATTTTGACCACTACCCGTGCAGATGAAAAAAGTCGCGGATGCGACGGGTACTCGAAAATAGGCCCTCGCCGAAGGCTCGACCCCTCGGAAAATGGCACTTCGGACCCTCTATATAAGCTTTCATGGGGTATAGATTTCGAACTCTCGGAGGTAGCGAGCCCTCGAGAAAAATTTCGAGCCGTCGAATAGAGATTTTCGGGACTTCCAATCCCTCGTCGCCCAAAAGTGCGATATTCGGGAGTTCCGAGCCCTCGCTCTCTCGATCGTGCGACGAGGGCTTGGCCTACCTCTTGAAAGCTTATATCGAGGGTCCGAAGTGCCATTTTCCGAGGCTCGAGCCCTCGGCGAAGGCCGATCGATTGCATAATTCCGAGCACTCGAAGTACCCCTCGAACAACTGGTTGGGTAAATGAGCGACATCTTTGAAATGGCAATAGATGACTTCGCTAAAATTTTTGCGGAAAAAATACAACCATAAGGTCCACATTGCCTGAAAGTTTGTTTGATATCTAATAATAGGGACTCGGACATAAAATAAATGCTAAATTGTAGTCTTTTGATAGTTTGTGGAATAAAAGCATAGTAGAAAAACGTACGAACGATGAGGAATATATTTTTTTTTCTGTATTAAGCCTCTGAATTCTTCCCTTTTTATATGTCATCTGTAAATAGATTAAACGTTTAAATTACTTTTAAAAATCGTTAGTTGATAAAAAGGGGTGTCTAAAACCGATTTCTAGAGAACTTACCACATAAGCGATACGCAACAAAGTGTGCCATCAAGTTCCATGTAATGGATAACCTATGTTTTCTGTCAATTATATCTCTGAAATGCTGACAGCTAGCCATCTCCGCCTTACGTAGATTGACAGAATCGACAGACGATACTCTGGATTATATAATCGTTGTGTAGAAATTGAACGTCTACTACCCAGTCAAAAAAAAGGTTAGAAGTAGGAGTATGAAGGTGTATTCCGTTTTCGGAATAGTCCTTTTGGAAATTGAACACTCCTTTTGAAAAAAGCTACTAAGAACACTCTATAGTACTCTTTTTTGGAGTAGTCCAGAATACGCCTCAAAAAAAGAACGCTTCGGAGCACTCCTTTTTCTAAACTGCAGCCAAGGCACTGCAGAGCACTTCAAAAAAAGTGTAGTTTTTAGAGTGCTTTTGAGAACATGCACTTCGAGTACTCCGGAGTAATTCTTCAAACAGGGTTATCGAGATTACTCCTTTTTGGAGCACACTTTTTGGGAAAAAGAGTACTGTTTTCTCTTTTTTCCGAAAAGAGTGCTCCATCATACTCCTCCTCTTGATATTTTTTTTGTCTGGGTAGAGGAAGGATGGAACAGTTCCAGTTCAGTTTTATTGAACGGGAACTGCTTGTCGGTTCTTTTTAAAAATTCAAAATCAAATAAAACCGGCGAAACTAGTTACATTCACTTTGTTCAGTCCACTGAACGCGCTATTTATCATCAGCTCACTAAACAAAGTCAATATAGCTAGTTTCGCCGGTTTTATTTGATATTGAATTCCTGAAAAGATGGTAAATCTCAAAAGCAGAAATGAGGAACTCCTACCTTCTATACCAGGTCGAACAGAACGCTAAGTTTTTGGATCCTCAGCAGAATTCTGTATTTTGAGAAGGGTATAACAAATATACGATCTCGCATCCAATAAAACAAAATTCTGTCAAGAATTCAAAAACTTCAACAGAAATTGTCAGAATTCGGTTCGATCTACCAGAATTCAAAACCATTCACTTCATTCTCTGAGGACAAAGTTCCACTGATGATTTGAAATTCTTGGCAGAATTCTATGTTCAGTAGGGGTATAAGCCCACCACACTAGCATGCAGCAATTACTCAGGACAGAATACTAAAGCCGAACAGAATTCTAAATCATACTGTCCCACATCTTCAATCTTCCGTTATTAACGAGCACATGCAGTTTTGATTTTCTCATTGAAGTGTAACACAGATCAAAGCGTATTGTTTCGACGAAACACATATAATTACACTGCAGTTAACTAAAACCATTTTCGTTTCGTCTTTTTAATATACTTTTTTCAGTACATCGTATATTTAATTGAAATCATATAAGATAATAAACTTAAGGAACGATGTTCAACCCTGGTTCTTGCATAAATTGAGGTGTCTGAAGTACACTAAGAAAAAAACTGGATAAAGTCATCAATACTATTTTGCGGTACAGAAGGAGTTTGATGACTCAGTTAAAAGATAAGTATATAAACCGTAATTAATAATACAAAGAGTACTAGTAAACAATGGCGCAATGCGCTTAACTTTAGTTTAGGAAGAAAAAAAACATTCGTTGATACCGCCATTAAAAACAAACACAAATAACTGGGTGCACGTATTTAAATGTATCAACTAAAAACTTATCGAAAATTAGTATAGCATATTACGAAGTAGAAAAGGTTTTGAATAAGCTAGATGTCGCGACTGGCTTAGGGTCAGCTTGACAACTGTATACCTCCCATAATTAATCAATCGTTAGAAACGAAAATTTATCCGGAATCATTTGAATTGGCTATTTAACTGCAAAAAATATTTTAACATTTTCGTCAGTGCACTTCAGTCTCTGACTCTATGAGTTCTTTAGATCAACATCAACTAGACCTGCTAGTAGCGGATTCAAGGAAAGGTTTAATCTAGATTATTAAGGAAAACAAACACAAACCTCCAGGAAATTTTTCCTTTTTTTTAGCATTCCGTTAACGAATGTATAATAAATAACATCGGTCTCGGTATTTTTGCTCTAACTCGATCAAAGTAAACGTAACGGAACCACGTTTTTTCTGCTTCCGGCTGAAATTTCCCAGTCAGCTTAGCAGATGAGATGCTTAAAATTTTATCTAAGTTGCGTAATCACGTGCTCGACAAACGCTAAACTTTCGGTTAAGTTTGAAAGTATGGTTCGAGTTTTATAAGACAAATATTGATCGACACGGAATCACCAAAAATGGAGCAGTCATCCTGGAGGAATTTGAAGTTATCAAAAAGTCAGCTAATCTCCATTATCTACGTGAAAACTTTTTCTGGCAGTGCTGTAGAAAAGTCCATGGACTATTGATTGAAAAAACATTATTTTATAGCTCGAAATTAACCCTTGCATCGCTAAAATGCAAGATAAGTAGGAGCGGACGAAGAATATGCTTGGTTTTGGGGATGAACAGTTTTTCTAAATAATCGAAAAATCGGTCTTCATCAATCCATCCGGATTCCGTACGGTTAAACACAGCACCACGAATGA